GCCACGAATTGATGATCTGTTTGATCAGTTGTAAGGGGGAAAGGTGTTTTCTAAGATTGATTTGAGGTCAGGATATCACCAGTTGAAGGTAAAGGATAGTGATATTTCGAAAACTGCTTTTCGAACTCGATATGGTCATTATGAGTTTTTGGTAATGCCTTTTGGGTTAACCAATGCTCCAGCGGTGTTTATGGATTTAATGAATCGAGTATTTCATCCGTATGTTGATTCTTTTGTTATTGTCTTCATCGATGATATTTTGATATATTCTCGGAGTGTGGATGAACATGAAAAGCATTTAAGAATTGTGGTACAGATGAAACAACTCTTTGGTAAGTTCAGCAAATGTGAGTTTTGGCTTGATAAAGTTGTCTTTTTGGGGCATGTAGTATCTGGGGATCGTATTTATGTTGACCCATCAAAAGTGGAAGCAGTGGTGAAATGGGAAAGGCCTACCAATGTGACAGAAGTTAGAAGTTTTTTGGGATTAGCAAGTTATTACCGGAGGTTCATCCAAGGGTTTTCTAGTATCGCATTGCCATTGACAAAGTTGACCCGGAAAGAAGTAAAGTTTGTGTGGGGTGAGGAATGCCAAAGAAGTTTTGAAGAATTGAAGAAAAAGTTAACGTCAGCCCCAGTGTTAACTATTCCGTGTGGTGGTGAAGGTTTTGTGATTTACACTGATGCTTCACATCAGGGTCTGGGATGTGTTTTGATGCAAAATGGTAAAGTAATTGCATATGCTTTTAGACAATTGAAGAATCATGAATTGAATTATCCTACACATGACTTGGAGTTAGCTGCTATTGTTTTTGCTTTAAAATTGTGGAGGCATTATCTGTATGGTGAACTTTGTGAAATATTTACAGATCATCAGAGTTTGAAGTATTTGTTTACATAGAAGGATTTAAATTTGAGACAGAGGCGTTGGATGGAGTTAATCAAAGATTATGATTGTAATATCCACCATCATCCTGGAAAAGCCAATGTAGTAGCAGATGCCTTGAATAGGAAGTCTTCAGGGAGACTATCTTGTGTACAGTGTGCACGGGTGGCAAATATTATGGAATTGAGACTGATGGGAGTTGAATTGACAGTTACTAACAAAGGAGCATTGTTTGCACATGTTACGGTGAGACCTTTGTTGCTGGATAGAATTAAAGAGCTGCAAATACATGACGTATTCCTGGATAAGAAAAGAAAAGAAGCTCAAGAGGGTATGCAAACTGAATTTATAGTTAGGGATGATGGGATTTTGTATTTTAAAAGTCGAATTTGTGTTCCAAATGATGTTTCCTTGAAGAAAGATATTTTAGATGAAGCCCACAGTTCTATATATGCTATGCATCCGGGGAGTACTAAAATGTACAGGGATTTGAAAGAATACTATTGGTGGAACAATATGAAGCGTGAAATTGCAGAATTTGTAGCAAAGTGTTTGATATGTCAACGAGTTAAAGCTGAACATCAGAAACCAGCAGGGTTGTTGCACCCGTTACCAGTTCCACAGTGGAAATGGGAGCATGTAACCATGGATTTTGTGACGGGACTTCCAAGATCAAAACGAGGACATGACTCTATTTGGGTGATAGTTGATCGATTGACGAAATCAGCTCACTTTCTGGCAGTGAAAACACTTATTCTACAAAGGAATATGCTCGTTTGTATGTTGATGTGATCATATGTTTGCATGGGGCTCCAGTTTCTATTGTTTTGTGACAGGGATCCGAAGTTCACTTCGAGATTTTGGTATAGTTTGCATGAAGCCATGAAAACTTCTCTGAAGTTCAGTATAGCTTTTCACCCGCAGACAGATGGGCAGTCAGAACGAACAATTCAGATTTTGGAAGATATGTTGAGAGCTTGTGCGTTGGACTTCAAAGGTAATTGGGATGATTATTTACCGTTGATTGAATTTGCCTATAATAATAGTTATCAGTCTACTATTGGAATGGCACCGTATGAAGCTTTGTATGGGAGAAAATGTAGAACTCCATTGTGTTGGGATGAGGTGGGGGAAAGAAAGTTATTGGGTCTAGAATTGATTGAACTTACAACAGAAAAAGTGAAAATAATTCAGCAGCGTATGAAAGTGGCACAGGATAGACAGAAAAGTTATGTAGATGTGCGAAAAAGAAGAGATTTGGAATTTGAAGTTGGTGATTTTGTTTTTCTTCGTATTTCTCCTTGGAAAGGTATTATAAGGTTTGGAAAGAAAGGTAAGTTAAGTGCCAGACACATTGGACCTTACAAGATTCTGGAACGAATAGGAGCAGTGGCGTATCGGTTGGAATTACCAAAAGAATTATCAAGATTGCATGATGTTTTCCATGTGTCTATGCTTCGGAAGTATATATCGGATCCATCTCATGTTTTAGTTGCAGAACCGATAAAGTTGAAGGAAGATTTGACTTATGTAGAGGAACCGGTACAGATTTTGGATGGCCGGGAGCAAGTGCTACAGAATAAAACTATATCACTGGTAAAGGTATTGTGGAGGGGTCATACAATTGAAGAATCGACTTGGGAAAGTGAAGAAGTTATGCGAATGTAATATCCTCACTTGTTCGGTATGTTTCATGCATTTTAATTTCGAGGACGAAATTTATTTTAAGAGGGGTAGATTGTCATATCCAGAATTTTATTAACTCTTTAATTACCGAGCTTGTTAATATGTGTTTGAGTTTAAATATTTATATTTAATTGCGTTGGAAAACAAGATAAGAAATTTCATTTTTATAAACAATTAATTTCAAGTATAAAAATTGTTCACCAATGCATGGTATATGGTACCTAGAAGTGTTTGCACATGTTTGTTATATATTTATGTGTATGGTGTCAATTACAAATTTTTGAAGTGGTGGCAGGTAGTGGGAAGGAAAGAAAAAAATATATATATATTAAATGAACAAGGTGTGTATATTGAAGACAATGTGTTATGTCGTGGGTGTGTTTGTGCTAGAAGTTTCTGCTAGTAGCCCATATACATTGAATTATATTAGTTACAAGCTTTAAAGTTGGTAAGGTAAATTGGTGGGCCCAATTGAAAACCATGCCTATGTATATCCTTAAGTAGTGCATAGATAAAAGCTTAATTAAAAAGGTGTACTAGCTGCCAGTGTATATTTATATCCAAGACTACTCACTTAATCACACACACATGGTCATTGTTCAGGTGTACATATATTTCGTGTGGAGGTTTGTTGTGGACCGCTGGAACACCCTACTTATCTATGTGGGTTGATTAAAATAAAAATAAAAAGGAAGCCATTATTTTATTTTTAGGTGTTGCCAGCACAAACCATCAGTGTCTATACACTTAACACGTTGCAAAGAGCCTTTAAGGGGCCTTTTGAACCGAAGCAAGAAGGAGAGTTTTCGCCATAGGAGAACAAAGGAAAAAGGAAGTGTAAGAAGAAAGGAGTATAGAAAGAGAAGGATTTTCCTCTCTAAAGTGTTAGTAAACTCAAAGATAGGTGAGGGGTTGTAGAGTTTAAATTATATATTGAAAGTTTGTTATTTAATCTTTTAGTACTTAATTCAATTAACTGTGGCAGCATAGACACCATCTCTTAATTGTGAAAGGCTGCCTTATGTGAATTGTTATCATGATTATTTTAGTGTAATTGTGAAGTTGGTGAGTAAAGGTTTATTATCGGAATTTTCTATAGTTGATATTATAAGCTGTTCTTGAGGAAATTCTAATTGTTCAATTGTTCTAGTTCAATTGAGTTGTAAATTTCTTTTAAGTTATATATACCATGCTGGGTAGTAAGTATTGTGTGGGAATTTAATCCAAATGGTTAAAATTGGAAATTTCCATTACAATTGTATAGAAAAGTTGAGATTTATAGGAAGGTGACAATAATTATTTATTTCTCTTTACAAATGAATATAACATGGTTATAATATTGTTCAGACAAAGAGACGGAACGGACCACATCGACGGTGCCGAAGGAAAAATAAATAATTGGAAAAGTAATCAAGGTGAGTGTACTTACTGGAAGTTTATACTTGGATGTATTTAATTGAAGTATTGAAACTGTTTATGTGAAATGAAGATGAATATATATAACTTGATTATATTATATAAGGTCCATACTCTGGCCTGGAAGGAGAGTACTATATTAAATAAGGTCCATACTCTGGCCACGAAGGAGAGTACTATATTTAAATAAGGTCCATACTCTGGCCTAGAAAGAGAGTACTATATTATATAAGGTCCATACTCTGGCCTAGAAGGAGTGTACTATATTTTAAAGTATGTAATATGTTAATGAAGTGTAATTGAAGCAATCAGATAATATCTGTTTATATTACTCTGATGTAGTAGTGTTGCATTCACTGGGCTTTAAGCTCACTCCTTCCATATTTATATTTTTCAGGTATCAGTTTGGGTTGCTACTGCCAAGTCTAGAATCTTATGTGTAATGGGGAAAAGAACAATGGAACGTCTTTTGTGTAAAATGTAAATATTGTAGTAGACCTTAATACTGTGACTTGTAGTTACTTGTTTAGTTTTTAGAACTTAAAAGGTGGATTTATAGTTTATGTTTTTATTGTAAACTATTAAACAGGTATATTGATGTAGGATGATGTTATGTTTGAATGAGGTTAATGTAGATGGTTAGATGCATCCCAAGTTGTTCAATTTATTTAAAAATGTAAATTGGGTTGGGATGTGACAACTTTTGTTATCAGAGCCTAGGTTTTCTAGGTTCTGGAGGTCATAAGAGTCTAGACTGGCAGTGGCAGTAAGAAGTGTGTAGTAGAGTCATTGATTTGACTTAATTTTATACTAACAAATATAAGTGGTGATTATGTATCATATATATGTTGTTATATTTGAGATTCATTGCAGATAAAAAGAAATGGAAAGGGAAAGTGGTTATCATAGAACTGAGGGTGAAGCCACTTATGTTCCTGTTGAGGCTGAAGTAGAACAACCTATGCAGGGTGGTATGAGAAGAGAATAGGAGTGCTTAACTGGTATGCAAAAAATGGAAAAGGCTATAATAGACTTTGCAGAACAAAACAAACTATTTATGGCGAGTCAAATGATGATACAAGAAAGGCTAGAAAGACAACAGAAATGGAAGAAAGGCTCTGATTATGAGAGGTTTATCAAGTTAACACCCCCAGAATTTTCAGGTACTACCAAACCAGAAGAAGCAGAGGGGTGGGTAAGAAGAATGGAATCGATATTTGCAGTGATGGGTGCAGCAGAAGACCGGAAGGTGAACTTAGCTACATTTATGTTCAAAAATGAAGCTAGTTATTGGTGGGACACGACAAAACATTTGTTGCTCACTCCAGGAGAGAAAGAGGTGATATTCTGGAATCCATTTGTTAAAGCTTTTTATGAGAAATATTTCCCTCCAATTTACCGAAAAGAGAAGGAACGGGAGTTTATTCTCCGAAAACAAGATAGAATGTCTATGGTTGATTATGAAGTTAAGTTTACAGCTTTATCGAGGTTCGCACCCAAGTTTGTACAGAATGAAGAAGATAAATGTACAAAATTCCAGGATGGTTTAGAGGCGGCTATTAAGTCTAGAGTTTCAGTGTTTGAGGAAACATATTATAACAGACTTGTGAATAAAGCCATGATTGCCGAAAGGGATGTGAAAGAATTGCAAGAAAGAAGGAAACAATACAAAAGAAATAGATCTGAGCCGTCACAGTCAAGAGGAGGTGAAGGAATTGCAGGTTATAAAAGTCAAAGGTCGCGGTATGGAAGGGGAAGGGGTGGTGAATCTCAAGGCCAGACATCAAGTATTGGAAGAGGTCAAGGGCTTTCCGAACAACAATCTGTACAACAAGGTAGTTTTGGAGGACGTGGTACTGGCAGGGGGTGTTTTCAGTGCGGAAGGGAAGGTCACCAGAAGAAGGATTGTCCTATCTTGAAAGCAGAAGAGTGCTATCATTGCCATCAGCCGGGTCATCGGAAGAGAGATTGTCCTATGTTGACAGGAATGACATCAGTGGGCAGTGTTGCTGGTTCTGGTAGAGGTTTTGCATAGGGGAACTCGTCAAGAGGAGGTAAGGGTGTTACAAGTGGTTCGCAAGCCCAGGGAAGAGTGTTTGCTATGACACTTCAGGATGCTCAAGCAACACCAGAAGTGGTGACAGGTACACTTTCTATTTTGGATAGAAATGTTACTGTGCTTATTGATCTTGGCGAAACCCATTCATTTGTTGCATAATCTATTGCTATGCATTTGGGTAGACCACTTTCATTATTAGATAGTAAATTGTTTATTTCTACACCAATGGGAGAAGTGGTAGTGGTTGCAAATGAATACCGGGATTGTGTGTTACAATTGGGAGATAGACAGTTAAAGGTAAATTTGATACCGTTGGGTATACCAGATTTTGATATCATTTTGGGTATGAATTGGCTGTCTGCGTATCATGCTTCAATAGACCGTTTTCGGAAAGAAGTTGTATTTCAGATACCAGGGGAGCCAGAATTTAGATTTACCGGAGAAAGAAATGTTATTCCAAACTGTCTCATTTCAGCTATACAAACCAGAAAGTTGTTGAAGAAAGGGTGTCAGGGTTACTTGGCTTATGTGATTGATACTGAAAATAAAGATATGACACTTGAAAATGTACCAGTGGTAATGGAATTCACAGATGTGTTTCCAGAAGAATTACCAGGGTTGCCAGTAGACAGGGAGGTAGATTTTACCATTGAGTTGGTACCAGGAACAACTCCAATTTCTATTGCTCCGTATCGAATGGCACCGACAGAATTGAAAGAGTTAAAGATACAGTTGTAAGATTTACTAGATAAAGGCTTCATTCGACCTAGTATTTCACCGTGGGGTGCACCGGTGTTATTTGTTAAGAAGAAGGATTGTACTATGCGGTTGTGTATTGACTACAGACAGTTAAATAAAGTGACCATCAGAAACAAGTATCCATTGCCACGAATTGATGATCTGTTTGATCAGTTGTAAGGGGGAAAAGTGTTTTCTAAGATTGATTTGAGGTCAGGATATCACCAGTTGAAGGTAAAGGATAGTGATATTTCGAAAACTGCTTTTCGAACTCGATATGGTCATTATGAGTTTTTGGTAATGCCTTTTGGGTTAACCAATGCTCCAGCGGTGTTTATGGATTTAATGAATCGAGTATTTCATCCGTATGTTGATTCTTTTGTTATTGTCTTCATCGATGATATTTTGATATATTCTCGGAGTGTGGATGAACATGAAAAGCATTTAAGAATTGTGGTACAGATGAAACAACTCTTTGGTAAGTTCAGCAAATGTGAGTTTTGGCTTGATAAAGTTGTCTTTTTGGGGCATGTAGTATCTGGGGATGGTATTTATGTTGACCCATCAAAAGTGGAAGCAGTGGTGAAATGGGAAAGGCCTACCAATGTGACAGAAGTTAGAAGTTTTTTGGGATTAGCAGGTTATTACCGGAGGTTCATCCAAGGGTTTTCTAGTATCGCATTGCCATTGACAAAGTTGACCCGGAAAGAAGTAAAGTTTGTGTGGGGTGAGGAATGCCAAAGAAGTTTTGAAGAATTGAAGAAAAAGTTAACGTCAGCCCCAGTGTTAACTATTCCGTGTGGTATTGAAGGTTTTGTGATTTTCACTGATGCTTCACATCAGGGTCTGGGATGTGTTTTGATGCAAAATGGTAAAGTAATTGCATATGCTTCTAGACAATTGAAGAATCATGAATTGAATTATCCTACACATGACTTGGAGTTAGCTGCTATTGTTTTTGCTTTAAAATTGTGGAGGCATTATCTGTATGGTGAACTTTGTGAAATATTTACAGATCATCAGAGTTTGAAGTATTTGTTTACACAGAAGGATTTAAATTTGAGACAGAGGCGTTGGATGGAGTTAATCAAAGATTATGATTGTAATATCCACCATCATCCTGGAAAAGCCAATGTAGTAGCAGATGCCTTGAGTAGGAAGTCTTCAGGGAGACTATCTTGTGTACAGTGTGCACGGGTGGCAAATATTATGGAATTGAGACTGATGGGAGTTGAATTGACAGTTACTAACAAAGGAGCATTGTTTGCACATGTTACGGTGAGACCTTTGTTGCTGGATAGAATTAAAGAGCTGCAAATACATGACGTATTCCTGGATAAGAAAAGAAAAGAAGCTCAAGAGGGTATGCAAACTGAATTTATAGTTAGGGATGATGGGATTTGGTATTTTAAAAGTCGAATTTGTGTTCCAAATGATGTTTCCTTAAAGAAAGATATTTTAGATGAAGCCCACAGTTCTATATATGCTATGCATCCGGGGAGTACTAAAATGTACAGGGATTTGAAAGAATACTATTGGTGGAACAATATGAAGCGTGAAATTGCAGAATTTGTAGCAAAGTGTTTGATATGTCAACGAGTGAAAGCTGAACATCAGAAACCAGCAGGGGTTGTTGCACCCGTTACCAGTTCCACAGTGGAAATGGGAGCATGTAACCATGGATTTTGTGACGGGACTTCCAAGATCAAAACGAGGACATGACTCTATTTGGGTGATAGTTGATCGATTGACGAAATCAGCTCACTTTCTGGCAGTGAAAACACTTATCCTATAAAGGAATATGCTCGTTTGTATGTTGATGTGATCATATGTTTGCATGGGGCTCCAGTTTCTATTGTTTGTGACAGGGATCCGAAGTTCACTTCGAGATTTTGGTATAGTTTGCATGAAGCCATGAAAACTTCTCTGAAGTTCAGTATAGCTTTTCACCCGCAGACAGATGGGCAGTCAGAACGAACAATTCAGATTTTGGAAGATATGTTGAGAGCTTGTGCGTTGGACTTCAAAGGTAATTGGGATGATTATTTACCGTTGATTGAATTTGCCTATAATAATAGTTATCAGTCTACTATTGGAATGGCACCGTATGAAGCTTTGTATGGGAGAAAATGTAGAACTCCATTGTGTTGGGATGAGGTGGGGGAAAGAAAGTTATTGGGTCCAGAATTGATTGAACTTACAACAGAAAAAGTGAAAATAATTCAGCAGCGTATAAAAGTGGCACAGGATAGACAGAAAAGTTATGTAGATGTGCGAAAAAGAAGAGATTTGGAATTTGAAGTTGGTGATTTTGGTTTTCTTCGTATTTCTCCTTGGAAAGGTATTATGAGGTTTGGAAAGAAAGGTAAGTTAAGTCCCAGACACATTGGACCTTACAAGATTCTGGAACGAATAGGAGCAGTGGCGTATCGGTTGGAATTACCAAAAGAATTATCAAGATTGCATGATGTTTTCCATGTGTCTATGCTTCGGAAGTATATATCGGATCCATCTCATGTTTTAGTTGCAGAACCGATAAAGTTGAAGGAAGATTTGACTTATGTAGAGGAACCGGTACAGATTTTGGATGGCCGGGAGCAAGTGCTACAGAATAAAACTATATCACTGGTAAAGGTATTGTGGAGGGGTCATACAATTGAAGAATCGACTTGGGAAAGTGAAGAAGTTATGCGAATGTAATATCCTCACTTGTTCGGTATGTTTCATGCATTTTAATTTCGAGGACGAAATTTATTTTAAGAGGGGTAGATTGTCATATCCAGAATTTTATTAACTCTTTAATTACTGAGCTTGTTAATATGTGTTTGAGTTTAAATATTTATATTTAATTGCGTTGGAAAACAAGATAAGAAATTTCATTTTTATAAACAATTAATTTCAAGTATAAAAATTGTTCACCAATGCATGGTATATGGTACCTAGAAGTGTTTGCACATGTTTGTTATATATTTATGTGTATGGTGTCAATTACAAATTTTTGAAGTGGTGGCAGGTAGTGGGAAGGAAAGAAAAAAATATATATATATTAAATGAACAAGGTGTGTATATTGAAGTCAATGTGTTATGTCATGGGTGTGTTTGTGCTAGAAGTTTCTGCTAGTAGCCCATATACATTGAATTATATTAGTTACAAGCTTTAAAGTTGGTAAGGTAAATTGGTGGGCCCAATTGAAAACCATGCCTATGTATATCCTTAAGTAGTGCATAGATAAAAGCTTAATTAAAAAGGTGTACTAGCTGCCAGTGTATATTTATATCCAAGACTACTCACTTAATCACACACACATGGTCATTGTTCAGGTGTACATATATTTCGTGTGGAGGTTTGTTGTGGACCGCTGGAACACCCTACTTATCTATGTGGGTTGATTAAAATAAAAATAAAAAGGAAGCCATTATTTTATTTTTAGGTGTTGCCAGCACAAACCATCAGTGTCTATACACTTAACACGTTGCAAAGAGCCTTTAAGGGGCCTTTTGAACCGAAGCAAGAAGGAGAGTTTTCGCCATAGAAGAACAAAGGAAAAAGGAAGTGTAAGAAGAAAGGATTATAGAAAGAGAAGGATTTTCCTCTCTAAAGTGTTAGTAAACTCAAAGATAGGTGAGGGGTTGTAGAGTTTAAATTATATATGGAAAGTTTGTTATTTAATCTTTTACTACTTAATTCAATTAACTGTGGCAGCATAGACACCATCTCTTAATTGTGAAAGGCTGCCTTATGTGAATTGTTATCATGATTATTTTAGTGTAATTGTGAAGTTGGTGAGTAAAGGTTTATTATCGGAATTTTCTATAGTTGATATTATAAGCTGTTCTTGAGGAAATTCTAATTGTTCAATTGTTCTAGTTCAATTGAGTTGTAAATTTCTTTTAAGTTATATATACCATGCTGGGTAGTAAGTATTGTGTGGGAATTTAATCCAAATGGTTAAAATTGGAAATTTCCATTACAATTGTATAGAAAAGTTGAGATTTATAGGAAGGTGACAATAATTATTTATTTCTCTTTAGAAATGAATATAATATGGTTATAATATTATTCAGGCAAAGAGACGGAACGGACCACATCGACGGTGCCGAAGGAAAAATAAATAATTGGAAAAGTAATCAAGGTGAGTGTACTTACTGGAAGTTTATACTTGGATGTATTTAATTGAAGTATTGAAACTGTTTATGTGAAATGAAGATGAATATATATAACTTGATTATATTATATAAGGTCCATACTCTGGCCTGGAAGGAGAGTACTATAGTAAATAAGGTCCATACTCTGGCCACGAAGGAGAGTACTATATTTAAATAAGGTCCATACTCTGGCCTAGAAAGAGGGTACTATATTATATAAGGTCCATACTCTGGCCTAGAAGGAGAGTACTATATTTTAAAGTATGTAATATGTTAATGAAGTGTAATTGAAGCAATCAGATAATATCTGTTTATATTACTCTGATGTAGTAGTGTTGCATTCACTGGGCTTTAAGCTCACTCCTTCCATATTTATATTTTTCAGGTATCAGTTTGGGTTGCTACTGCCAAGTCTAGAATCTTATATGTAAATGGGGAAAAGAACAATGGAACGACTTTTGTGTAAAATGTAAATATTGTAGTAGACCTTAATACTGTGACTTGTAGTTACTTGTTTAGTTTTTAGAACTTAAAAGGTGGATTTATAGTTTATGTTTTTATTGTAAACTATTAAACAGGTATATTGATGTAGGATGATGTTATGTTTGAATGAGGTTAATGCAGATGGTTAGATGCATCCCAAGTTGTTCAATTTATTTAAAAATGTAAATTGGGTTGGGATGTGACAACTTTTGGTATCAGAGCCTAGGTTTTCTAGGTTCGGGAGGTCATAAGAGTCTAGACTGGCAGTGGCAGTAAGAAGTGTGTAGTAGAGTCATTTATTTGACTTAATTTTATACTAACAAATATAAGTGGTGATTATGTATCATATATATGTTGTTATATTTGAGATTCATTGCAGATAAAAAGAAATGGAAAGGGAAAATGGTTATCATAGAACTGAGGGTGAAGCCACTTATGTTCCTGTTGAGGCTGAAGTAGAACAACCTATGCAGGGTGGTATGAGAAGAGAACAGGAGTGCTTAACTGGTATGCAAAAAATGGAAAAGGCTATAATAGACTTGGCAGAACAAAACAAACTATTTATGGCGAGTCAAATGATGGTACAAGAAAGGCTGGAAAGACAACAGAAATAGAATAAAGGTTCTGATTATGAGAGGTTTATCAAGTTAACACCCCCAAAATTTTCAGGTACTACCAAACCAGAAGAAGCAGAGGGGTGGGTAAGAAGAATGGAATCGATATTTGCAGTGATGGGTGTAGCAGAAGACCGGAAGGTAAACTTAGCTACATTTATGTTCAAAAATGAAGCTAGTTATTGGTGGGACACGACAAAACATTTGTTGCTCACTCCAGGAGAGAAAGAGGTGATATTCTGGAATCCATTTGTTAAAGCTTTTTATGAGAAATATTTCCCTCCAATTTACCGAAAAGAGAAGGAACGGTAGTTTATTCTCCTAAAACAAGATAGAATGTCTATGGTTGATTATGAAGTTAAGTTTACAGCTTTATCGAGGTTCGCACCCAAGTTTGTACAGAATGAAGAAGATAAATGTACAAAATTCCAGGATGGTTTAGAGGCGGCTATTAAGTCTAGAGTTTCAGTGTTTGAGGAAACATATTATAACAGACTTGTGAATAAAGCCATGATTGCCGAAAGGGATGTGAAAGAATTGCAAGAAAGAAGGAAACAATACAAAAGAAATAGATCTGAGCCGTCACAGTCAAGAGGAGGTGAAGGAATTGCAAGTCATAAAAGTCAAAGGTCGCGGTATGGAAGGGGAAGGGGTGGTGAATCTCAAGGCCAGACATCAAGTATTGGAAGAGGTCAAGGGCTTTCCGAACAACAATCTGTACAACAAGGTAGTTTTGGAGGACGTGGTACTGGCAGGGGGTGTTTTCAGTGCGGAAGGGAAGGTCACCAGAAGAAGGATTGTCCTATCTTGAAAGCAGAAGAGTGCTATCATTGCCATCAGCCGGGTCATCGGAAGAGAGATTGTCCTATGTTGACAGGAATGACATCAGTGGGCAGTGTTGCTGGTTCTGGTAGAGGTTTTGCACAGGGGAACTCGTCAAGAGGAGGTAAGGGTGTTACAAGTGGTTCGCAAGCCCAGGGAAGAGTGTTTGCTATGACACTTCAGGATGCTCAAGCAACACCAGAAGTGGTGACAGGTACACTTTCTATTTTGGATAGAAATGTTACTGTGCTTATTGATCTTGGCGAAACCCATTCATTTGTTGCATAATCTATTGCTATGCATTTGGGTAGACCACTTTCATCATTAGATAGTAAATTGTTTATTTCTACACCAATGGGAGAAGTGGTAGTGGTTGCAAATGAATACCGGGATTGTGTGTTACAATTGGGAGATAGACAGTTAAAGGTAAATTTGATACCGTTGGGTATACCAGATTTTGATATCATTTTGGGTATGAATTGGCTGTCTGCGTATCATGCTTCAATAGACCGTTTTCGGAAAGAAGTTGTATTTCAGATACCAGGGGAGCCAGAATTTAGATTTACCGGAGAAAGAAATGTTATTCCAAACTGTCTCATTTCAGCTATACAAACCAGAAAGTTGTTGAAGAAAGGGTGTCAGGGTTACTTGGCTTATGTGATTGATACTGAAAATAAAGATATGACACTTGAAAATGTACCAGTGGTAAGGGAATTCACAGATGTGTTTCCAGAAGAATTACCAGGGTTGCCAGTAGACAGGGAGGTAGATTTTACCATTGAGTTGGTACCAGGAACAACTCCAATTTCTATTGCTCCGTATCGAATGGCACCGACAGAATTGAAAGAGTTGAAGATACAGTTGTAAGATTTACTAGATAAAGGCTTCATTCGACCTAGTATTTCACCGTGGGGTGCACCGGTGTTATTTGTTAAGAAGAAGGATTGTACTATGCGGTTGTGTATTGACTACAGACAGTTAAATAAAGTGACCATCAGAAACAAGTATCCATTGCCACGAATTGATGATCTGTTTGATCAGTTGTAAGGGGGAAAGGTGTTTTCTAAGATTGATTTGAGGTCAGGATATCACCAGTTGAAGGTAAAGGATAGTGATATTTCGAAAACTGCTTTTCGAACTCGATATGGTCATTATGAGTTTTTGGTAATGCCTTTTGGGTTAACCAATGCTCCAGCGGTGTTTATGGATTTAATGAATCGAGTATTTCATCCGTATGTTGATTCTTTTGTTATTGTCTTCATCGATGATATTTTGATATATTCTCGGAGTGTGGATGAACATGAAAAACATTTAAGAATTGTGGTACAGATGAAACAACTCTTTGGTAAGTTCAGCAAATGTGAGTTTTGGCTTGATAAAGTTGTCTTTTTGGGGCATGTCGTATCTGGGGATGGTATTTATGTTGACCCATCAAAAGTGGAAGCAGTGGTGAAATGGGAAAGGCCTACCAATGTGACAGAAGTTAGAAGTTTTTTGGGATTAGCAAGTTATTACCGGAGGTTCATCCAAGGGTTTTCTAGTATCGCATTGCCATTGACAAAGTTGACCCGGAAAGAAGTAAAGTTTGTGTGGGGTGAGGAATGCCAAAGAAGTTTTGAAGAATTGAAGAAAAAGTTAACGTCAGCCCCAGTGTTAACTATTCCGTGTGGTGGTGAAGGTTTTGTGATTTACACTGATGCTTCACATCAGGGTCTGGGATGTGTTTTGATGCAAAATGGTAAAGTAATTGCATATGCTTCTAGACAATTGAAGAATCATGAATTGAATTATCCTACACATGACTTGGAGTTAGCTGCTATTGTTTTTGCTTTAAAATTGTGGAGGCATTATCTGTATGGTGAACTTTGTGAAATATTTACAGATCATCAGAGTTTGAAGTATTTGTTTACACAGAAGGATTTAAATTTGAGACAGAGGCGTTGGATGGAGTTAATCAAAGATTATGATTGTAATATCCACCATCATCCTGGAAAAGCCAATGTAGTAGCAGATGCCTTGAGTAGGAAGTCTTCAGGGAGACTATCTTGTGTACAGTGTGCACGGGTGGCAAATATTATGGAATTGAGACTGATGGGAGTTGAATTGACAGTTACTAACAAAGGAGCATTGTTTGCACATGTTACGGTGAGACCTTTGTTGCTGGATAGAATTAAAGAGCTGCAAATACATGACGTATTCCTGGATAAGAAAAGAAAAGAAGCTCAAGAGGGTATGCAAACTGAATTTATAGTTAGGGATGATGGGATTTGGTATTTTAAAAGTCGAATTTGTGTTCCAAATGATGTTTCCTTAAAGAAAGATATTTTAGATGAAGCCCACAGTTCTATATATGCTATGCATCCGGGGAGTACTAAAATGTACAGGGATTTGAAAGAATACTATTAGTGGAACAATATGAAGCGTGAAATTGCAGAATTTGTAGCAAAGTGTTTGATATGTCAACGAGTGAAAGCTGAACATCAGAAACCAGCAGGGTTGTTGCACCCGTTACCAGTTCCACAGTGGAAATGGGAGCATGTAACCATGGATTTTGTGACGGGACTTCCAAGATCAAAACGAGGACATGACTCTATTTGGGTGATAGTTGATCGATTGACGAAATCAGCTCACTTTCTGGCAGTGAAAACACTTATTCTACAAAGGAATATGCTCGTTTGTATGTTGATGTGATCATATGTTTGCATGGGGCTCCAGTTTCTATTGTTTGTGACAGGGATCCGAAGTTCACTTCGAGATTTTGGTATAGTTTGCATGAAGCCATGAAAACTTCTCTGAAGTTCAGTATAGCTTTTCACCCGCAGACAGATGGGCAGTCAGAACGAACAATTCAGATTTTGGAAGATATGTTGAGAGCTTGTGCGTTGGACTTCAAAGGTAATTGGGATGATTATTTACCGTTGATTGAATTTGCCTATAATAATAGTTATCAGTCTACTATTGGAATGGCACCGTATGAAGCTTTGTATGGGAGAAAATGTAGAACTCCATTGTGTTGGGATGAGGTGGGGGAAAGAAAGTTATTGGGTCCAGAATTGATTGAACTTACAACAGAAAAAGTGAAAATAATTCAGCAGCGTATGAAAGTGGCACAGGATAGACAGAAAAGTTATGTAGATGTGCGAAAAAGAAGAGATTTGGAATTTGAAGTTGGTGATTTTGTTTTTCTTCGTATTTCTCCTTGGAAAGGTATTATGAGGTTTGGAAAGAAAGGTAAGTTAAGTCCCAGACGCATTGGACCTTACAAGTTTCTGGAACGAATAGGAGCAGTGGCGTATCGGTTGGAATTACCAAAAGAATTATCAAGATTGCATGATGTTTTCCATGTGTCTATGCTTCGGAAGTATATATCGGATCCATCTCATGTTTTAGTTGCAGAACCGATAAAGTTGAAGGAAGATTTGACTTATGTAGAGGAACCGGTACAGATTTTGGATGGCCGGGAGCAAGTGCTACAGAATAAAACTATATCACTGGTAAAGGTATTGTGGAGGGGTCATACAATTGAAGAATCGACTTGGGAAAGTGAAGAAGTTATGCGAATGTAATATCCTCACTTGTTCGGTATGTTTCATGCATTTTAATTTCGAGGACGAAATTTATTTTAAGAGGGGTAGATTGTCATATCCAGAATTTTATTAACTCTTTAATTACCGAGCTTGTTAATATGTGTTTGAGTTTAAATATTTATATTTAATTGCGTTGGAAAACAAGATAAGAAATTTCATTTTTATAAACAATTAATTTCAAGTATAAAAATTGTTCACCAATGCATGGTATATGGTACCTAGAAGTGTTTGCACATGTTTGTTATATATTTATGTGTATGGTGTCAATTACAAATTTTTGAAGTGGTGGCAGGTAGTGGGAAGGAAAGAAAAAAATATATATATATTAAATGAACAAGGTGTGTATATTGAAGTCAATGTGTTATGTCGTGGGTGTGTTTGTGCTAGAAGTTTCTGCTAGTAGCCCATATACATTGAATTATATTAGTTACAAGCTTTAAAGTTGGTAAGGTAAATTGGTGGGCCCAATTGAAAACCATGCCTATGTATATCCTTAAGTAGTGCATAGATAAAAGCTTAATTAAAAAGGTGTACTAGCTGCCAGTGTATATTTATATCCAAGACTACTCACTTAATCACACACACATGGTCATTGTTCAGGTGTACATATATTTCGTGTGGAGGTTTGTTGTGGACCGCTGGAACACCCTACTTATCTATGTGGGTTGATTAAAATAAAAATAAAAAGGAAGCCATTATTTTATTTTTAGGTGTTGCCAGCACAAACCATCAGTGTCTATACACTTAACACGTTGCAAAGAGCCTTTAAGGGGCCTTTTGAACCGAAGCAAGAAGGAGAGTTTTCGCCATAGAAGAACAAAGGAAAAAGGAAGTGTAAGAAGAAAGGAGTATAGAAAGAGAAGGATTTTCCTCTCTAAAGTGTTAGTAAACTCAAAGATAGGTGAGGGGTTGTAGAGTTTAAATTATATATTGAAAGTTTGTTATTTAATCTTTTAGTACTTAATTCAATTAACTGTGGCAGCGTAGACACCATCTCTTAATTGTGAAAGGCTGCCTTATGTGAATTGTTATCATGATTATTTTAGTGTAATTGTGAAGTTGGTGAGTAAAGGTTTATTATCGGAATTTTCTATAGTTGATATTATAAGCTGTTCTTGAGGAAATTCTAATTGTTCAATTGTTCTAGTTCAATTGAGTTGTAAATTTCTTTTAAGTTATATATACCATGCTGGGTAGTAAGTATTGTGTGGGAATTTAATCCAAATGGTTAAAATTGGAAATTTCCATTACAATTGTATAGAAAAGTTGAGATTTATAGGAAGGTGACAATAATTATTTATTTCTCTTTAGAAATGAATATAACATGGTTATAATATTGTTCAGGCAACGAGACGGAACGGACCACATCGACGATGCCGAAGGAAAAATAAATAATTGGAAAAGTAATCAAGGTGAGTGTACTTACTGGAAGTTTATACTTGGATGTATTTAATTGAAGTATTGAAACTGTTTATGTGAAATGAAGATGAATATATATAACTTGATTATATTATATAAGGTCCATACTCTGGCCTGGAAGGAGAGTACTATATTAAATAAGGTCCATACTCTGGCCACGAAGGAGAGTACTATATTTAAATAAGGTCCATACTCTGGCCTAGAAAGAGGGTACTATATTATATAAGGTCCATACTCTGGCCTAGAAGGAGAGTACTATATTTTAAAGTATGTAATATGTTA